TTGTTCTAGTTTTAAAAGAACTATTTAACAACAACAAAAAGTAGTATCCTTATTTATTTTTTGTTCTCTGCACGAGGCATACTGCAGAGCCTGAAAAGTCAGGATTGCCTAAGAACTTGAATCTACTAGAGCTTCACACTCAGTAGTGTGAAGCCCAAAGATATTTCCCAGATTGGTTAATACCAGCCTTGTCTTTGGGTCACATTAGTCTGTATATGCCTTTTAAAACCATGGAAAAGTTTTGAATTATTTCCATAAAAGAAAAAAACGCCCCATATCAGAAATACATTAAAATGCACACTTTGTTAACGTAAAAAGTCACTTGCTTTTCTATGATAGCCACCTCAGTCATTAAAATTCATATTATGGAGAGAATTCTATAGGCAGATGAAGGTCAAGCCTATCTTAGACTCCTTTCATGGGTAAAAATAATATTTTTCAAATGTTATCAATGCCCACATATGTGGTCATATAAATATTTATATGAAAACTTACTGCCCAGGCAGTGAATAGAAATGATGTGCTCCAGAAACCCTCCCTGAGTGACTGCACTTGCAAACTAAGAGAGCTCCAGATTTCTTCTGCCATATCTACCCTGTGTCTCATGGGAAAAGGACTCATCTAACATAAGCAGAGAGAGACTTTGGCTTGTCCCCTAGTTTACAGAAAGAAGATGAGAGGTCCCACAGGTTAGATCAAGTGAAATGATACTGTGGGTTAAACCAAGAACAGTTTTCCTGAATCTCCATGTCATCCAAGTTTTGTGGTATAGTAGTAACCCATGACACAGGAAGTAACTCAGGGTAGCTAATAGGAATAGTGGGCATTATGGCTAGCCCAGTAGTATAGTATCAGTTAAACCTGTGCATCAGAAACTGGATGCCACACAATTGATGACAGTTTGAATGCCAGCCTCAGTGGCTTTTAAAGTATGCTGAGCACAAGTCTATGAAACCCCAAAATACTAAAGGGATAGCGATATGGAGGAAAATGGATTGTGGTGTGACTACAACCCATCAAGGGATACTTTCTTCCTCACTCTCTCTCTTTTTCTGTCTCTGGCAAGTGCATGTGTCTTCTGGTAATAAATGTTTTTAAAAGAAGGCATAAAAGGGGCCACAGTTAGCATAATGGCTATGTCACTGGACTGCCATGTGGTCAACCGTGGTTTGATTCCCAGACCTGGTGGCTTAAACTCATGCCAGGTGCGTGTGCATGCATGCCCAAGATCCCGAAAGGAGAATGAAGGAGAAGGAATTGCGGTGGGGCCATCCCCCTGGGGGGTAATTTCTCACTTTCAGTCTCTCAGTCTCTTTCTGTTTTTCTGGTGAGTACACGTGCCCTATAGCAAAAAAACCTCTCCAAAAAAATTAAAACAAAAATAAAGAAGAAGACATTAAAATCACAAGTTTAGGAAAAACTATGAAGGCCAGTCAGATCTTGGGGAGAAACAAAAACCAAAGGCTGAAGGGTGGAATTATTTGTATTTTTCTTAACTACATGAGAACAGACAAGTACATGGTAAAATTCCAACCAGCAAGGGTTAAAGGTCTTTGATCAAGGCTGTACCAGGTATTTTTCTCTTACGGATGTCCTAACAATTGGATCCCACCTTATGGCAAGAAAGAAAAAAAGTCTATTAAAAAACAGCAAATAATGCAACCCAGTAAATAAAGGCAGGCACTCTTTAGAGGGAAAGTTTGGGGAGAAATTATTTGGAATTAGGTCACAAACAAAAAATGATGCGATATTGGAAAGAAAAGGATTTGCAGATCAAATGGCTGATGGGATCCTACAGACTCCAGAGCCCTAGATCCTGTTTGTCTTTGTTTCTTTCCTGACTTGGGTCAGGGTCAGTGTTAGACAAATCAGGAAGAATGTACCAGACCATCGTAGTTTCCTACAGCACTAGCACTAGAAACTCAAGACATTATGAACCCCCGGCCTGGGATAAGGCGTGACACTCACACTTGGGGCCTCGTACACAAGTCAGAAAGTTTAGGCAACCTGTGGCTTGCCATCATATCAAGGAACTAGATTCAGGCAGTGAGAGGTCCACAAATGTGAACAACAATGAAACACTTTTGTCTACCTTACACTTGAGCATTTCAGTCCTGTCACACAGCTACACATTTAGTCTTTATAGAAATTATGAAACATGGGTCAGAACTATTAGTCCCATTTGAGAAATGTGCAATTTGTGCCATGATGGCTGTATATTATTTATGAAAGTCCAAATCACAGGTAGTTAGGTCAGAGAACCGAAATTTCTGAACTCTTGATCTTGTTTTTCTTTCCATTTTAAGAATCAAATTCACCATAAATGAAGTCAAAATGATAATACACAATTAATGTAGACATTTTTCAAAAGACAAGCCCTCAAGTTTCAATATTACATTTTTCAAGGTCTATATATTTCCCTCTAAATACACTTCTCCAATGGAAGCTGACTGGTTTCAATATCCAGCCTATGCTAATTGTTATTGCTAGTGTTTACAAATGAAACTTTTTTTTTTGAGAGGCTTTTGTTATTGGGCGTGTGCACTCACCAGAAAGACAGAGAGACAGAAAGCGAGAAATCACCCCCCGAGGGATGGCCACGCCGCAATTCCTTCTCCTCCATTCTCCTTTCAGGATCTTGAGCACAAACGCACACACATCTGGCGTGAGTTTAAGCCACCGGATCCAAGAATCCAACTGCAGTCGACTACATGGGAGTCCAGCAACATAGCCATTACACTAACTGCTAGTCCCGTACAAATCAAACATTTTTGAAGTTCAGATTTTAAAGTTAATAAAATGAAGGCCAGCTCCAAGAAAGAGCACTGACATATTGTTCAAGAGAAGCAGTATTCCACATAGCTAGCACCATTTGAATCCCTGGCCTGGTTAGCCCAAAACACATTTGGCATGTATACAAGTGCCCAAGATATGGGGGACTGGAGGACTGGACGAAGAGAATCACAGTGTGATTGATCTTTGGAGAGGGTGCTTTTCTCTCTCAATTTCTCACTCTCATGTGTATGCATTCTATCATGAGTAAAATTTTTTAAAAAAATAGAATAAAATACATTATGTAATCTGTTATGTTAACATCTTAAAAATCAACAAAAGTTAGAGGAGAGGTTGAAAAATAGGCTGTAATCACTATTTACAATAGCTAAGATATGGAATCAATGTAAGTGCCTCAAAACAGATAATGGATAAAGAAAATGTGTTCTATATACACAACAGAATACCATTCAGCCATAGAAAACAATGGAATCCAGTCACCTAAGGCAATATGGATGAACCTGGAAGAAATAATGCCAGTGAAATAAATTGAGAACTGACAGACAAATACCTTAATTCTCATTACTAGAAGTCAAAAGATCCAACTGTATAGAAGTGAAAAGTGTAAAGGAGGAAGATGGGAAGAACTTCATCAATCAACAGATTAAAAAATATAGGTAGATAAGAGGAAAGAGTTCTACAGTACTATAGCACAGTAGAGTAATGACAGTTGGTAAAAATTCAATGTACACCTCAAAACAGATGAGTGGATCTCAAATGTACACAACACAAAGCAATGATAGATGTTGAGATGGTATCTGTTTATTGTCCTAAGTTGATCATTACACAATGTACATGTTTTGAAAAACCACATTGTACCCCATAAATTCATGTAACTATTATATATAAATCAGAAAATGTAATTTAAAAATGAAAAATAAATTTAAAATTGGGAAAAAATAGGCTCTACAAAACCTTTGTGATGACTTGATACTTTTCAGGATGATTTTGGTAGAAGCAGTTAAGCTAAAATTGCTTCCTCTTCCCTAAAACACCTGTTCTAGGTAAGAAGTAAAGCTATCAATAGAAATGGCAGGAATTCAATGTGTTGATCCATCTATAGTCTGCAGGACATGACAAAAGAGACATGCTCATCCCAAAATTTGTTTAGGTTCATATCATCATTCCTTGGGTAGAGCTTTTCCATTTTAAATAAATGGGCTGACAGATTTAATCATAATTTTGCTTAAGAAAGGTGTCAATAAAGTAATCCTTTTTTGTGGGAGTTACACTCTGCAATCTGAGATTCTCTTGTAAATCTTAGACCTTTTGTCAACATCCTATAACTAAGTTTAATAAATCTAAGGTTTAAAACCAAGTTGGTCTCTTGACAGATGACTCAGTGTGAGATACAGTTTATTTGTGGCAGGTTTATAATAAAGACTAATACACAAAAAATATTAATACAACTTTTAGAATTTTTAGTTACCATTAAGTTAGTAGATTCAATGAGAAAAACATGTAGAAAACTATTTTTAAAGTCCTTAATGAATGTTTCATGTGGTCTGAAACAGACCAGAACCCATTCTTTATCTAAAAATATATGTTGAAAAAAATATAACGAAATTATTTAGAACTTCACAGAAAATAATTGTCTATTAATCTATGAATGTGTATATGTTAGGATAGTCAGGTTACTTGTATGTGTTTGTGTTTATATATATATATATATATATATATGTATATATATATATATAAATACGTATAGATATTTATACATACATAAGCATACATAGGAATGTTTATATTTACATATACATGTATACATACATATATATATGTATACAAGGGTACTTTGAAAGGTTTGTAGAAAAATAAAATTAGAGTATGAGTTTATTTAAATGCACAAAATATTTGAAACCCATGCATAATTTTTCCATAATATGCATTCTCTGTGAACTTTCTGAAGACCCTTCATGGGTGTGTGTGTATGTATGTGTGTCTGTGTGTGTGTGTGTGTGTGTGTGTGTGTATGTATCCCGGTGGAAATTCATCATTAATATTCTAATTCCTTTTTTTCCTGATGTCCACAGGTACTAACTAAATTTGTTCCACTGAAAAGAAAATTACTTTTCTTTAAACTACCAAAAGCAGTATCTTCCCAACATTATGAACATGTCTTTCATCTGATGTTTATTTGAAAATGGGTTAAGTTAAAATTTTCTTACCATCCAAGCTGTGACAAAGTCCCCCATCCAGGTCCCTACAGCAGCTAATTTCATGAAACTTTCATTTCGGATGCCCATATAGTCTGTAATGATATATGCTCTGTGGAAACAAACACACAAGACATTGTCCAGACTCAGAGAGCCATATAGTCAAAGCTTTCTGGTTCAGCAACACGCAAAGGGACTTGACAAGCTTTCTTATTTTTGTCTTGCCACATACGCTTACAGATCTGCAAAGCTAAAAAGAGCTCTGAGGATGTTCAGGTCAGTTTCAATTACATTTGAAGAGCGAATGTGGCTCTACCAATTACCATGTGGATTTCATATTTGTGCTGTAAGACTGACGACAGCTTTGAAAATCAAACAGAAAAACTCAGCAAAGCCATCATTTCATGCTCACTCAAGGGTGAACAGAGCAGAAACAATTCCTGAATTACAGTAACTTGAAAGGGGAGAAAAGAGCTAACTTTGAGTTTTGTCAAGTCAGAACTATTGAAAAGGTGCAGCAACCGGTTTTAGGTAAAATATTAAACCTGAATAATGTTCAGAATAATGTCAAGATTGGAGAAAAATTTATACACAATGAAGCAATGTAAATTGATTCAAATATGCATGGTTTAAATTATTATCAAAATAAAAACAATCAGAGAATTACTTTTATCACTTTTTTATACAGCTAATTGTTGTTTGCTTGCTATAACACCAATTCATGGTATTCACAGCTCAGAGAGAGATTCAAAGACAAAAGAGATCATTAAATATCAGTAATAAAACCATGCTTATTGTTTATTAAACATGTTCACTTTCTCATCTGATAGTCAAAGCCCCTAAGTATTATTTTTCCCATTTTGCAATTTCTCTGTGAAAATTAGAACTTAGAGAGATCACCTAATTTGTGCAATCATTATTACATAACTAATGAATGATAGCTAGAAAAAAATACCTTTTTTTTCTCTATTTTTCTTCACTAAGATTTTTTTAATTTAACTTCTGGTTTTTTAACATATGATTATACTTGTATGATTAAAAAATATTAAACTTTATATTAATTTCAAAACAAAACACAATGGATTATATGTTTGTTATTTATCTATTGAAATTATAAAGTATTTTTAAGTCACTGAAGAAATCCATCTCCAATTCTGGAACTATTGTTATTAAAGATGGTTTTGTTATCCACAAAAATAAAACAGACTTTTGAATAAGTTTATATAAAAACGAAACCAAATTTATAAGATCTTAAAACAACTTTTTTCCCCACACATTTCATTTATAAAAATTCACAACTGCTATTTCACTGATTTGTACATTTGTTAACATTTAATAATATTTCTTACTGGGTTGCAAAAGAGAGGGCATGCATATGTTTATATCAACAATTTTAGCCAGTTTGAACATCACATTGGACTCTTCATACATCCAGTGGCTTGGGGAAGGAATTCAAAATTAGATTTTATTTGCTAGAGTCTCATTAAAGCTGTAGTTTTGTTTAATGCTTTAGGTGATCATTCCAGCTATTCATATACATTTTATTTTTTTTCTTTTGTGCTTTATCTGGTTAGTTCCACTATGCATATATCTAGAAAATCTTGCAGCTCTACTAACCTTCCATGTAATACTGATGATTAATATGGCTTTTAAAGAGTCTAATGAATTTTTCTCAGGCTCTAACTTCAGTTTTGTTTCTTTCTTTTCTTTTTTTGACATTTAGAGTTTAACTCTCAAATCCATAAGAAATGTGTGGCAATTTCAAAATACAAGATCTAAGAAAGGTTAATAATTACTCTAACAGCTCAACAAAATAAGCTACCAAGATTTATGAAACATTTATGACTCAATCTTACAGGTGGGAGTCTTGCTAGCAATACAAGTTCGAGTTGACTTCAGTCTATCACATGTAACTGGAGGCAGTCTATGCCAGTGATTTAGGGATTGAGTCTCTGGAAGTTTAAGGAAGCTATAAACATAGATCACCAAATCAATATGGATTAATGCTTCAGTGAAGATCCATCTGTGGCCAGCTGGATTCATAATGTTGCAGCTGTCTCTCTCAGCCATGTTTAGGCAATATAAACAAGATTGGGGGCTTCATACACAGGTAAATCATGGGTAAGAAGTTTACTTACATGAGCACAGACCTGCATTCAAAAGAATGAAACTAAAGCAAAAGCTCTAAGTATTCTTACAGCAATGAGCTAGAAATATGTCACCATAACATGTCAGGAATTAAACCTAGATTTAGTATTTTAGCTTTTTATCCAATCTCTTGTGTCTGTAATAAAATGATTAATAGTTTCCATCTAGTCAACTATTATTCAAATAACCATAGTTTAGTGTTGCTACTCAAACGTTCTGGTTCTTGCTTTTTGAAAGACTTTGATGGAGCTCAATACATGTGTAAGAACATCCCAGGACAGAACTAGGGTATAAAGCTGCGAGGCAAGGTCCACTGGAATGTCAGAAATGGTATAATTGTTAGAAGTAGACTGAGGTAATCAAAACTGTATCTGAACCTAACAATATTAAAATATTAATTTGAATTTCCCGACTTTAGCCATTTGTTCCCTCTTCTTTCTATAAGGAAGACATGGGTAGGAAGAGAAAACCCACCATGGCTGTGAATATATTCCCTATACCTAAACTCTGTCTTCCTTTTTTTTTTTTTTTTGCCTTGGTTCCACCCACTAAAAAATAAATGTGTGTTAGATACAGAAACCTTAGTATTGCATCAATTATTCCTTCTCATTTAGTCTTAATATTTGATTAATCATCAAGGTTTCTTTTTTTTTTTTTTTTTGGAAAGGGTTTTTTGTTTGTTTGTTTGTTTTGGTATAGGACGTGTGCACTTGCCAGAAAGACAGAGAGAGACAGAGAGACAGAAAGCGAGAAATCACCCCCCAGGAGGCATGGCCATGCTGCAATTCCTTCTCCTCCATTGTCAACTTGGGATCTTGGGGACACACGCACACGTGCCCGGTGTGAGTTTAAGCCACTGGGTCTGGGACTCAAACAGTGGTTGACTAAATGGGAGTTCAGTGACATAGCCATTACGCTAACTGCTGGTCCCAATCATCAAGGTTTCTGGAAATCTCTCAAATCCATTCTGTTTTTCTGTCATCAACACCAACAAAGTATTAATTCTGTCCATAATCATCTCTAATCTGAAATTAAAGTAATAGGTGCTCATTTTCCTATGACCATTTCCCCCTTACTGAAGATCCTTTAATACCACTATGGTGATGTCTGGGGAAATAATGAGGTATACTGAGATGCAGAAATCCTTAAACCAGAAAGTATTAACTAGGCTTGCAACCCACCTTCATCACAATGTCCTGAGGGAAAAAATATCAATTCTGATAGTCATCTACTTCTTTATCTATCTAGTGGGAATATTAATACCTCTCTTTCATGGAAGATCACATGAAATAAAGGACATAAAGCTTCCAGTGCAACTACTTCAAACAGGCATAGTAAGCCTTTGGTCTACTGGCTACCATGTTCTAAAATAATATAGTGGTTTCCACTGTCACAGGGTAAATCATGGATTAGAACACCCATCATTCTCTCCAAGCCAACTTTTTAAGATGCATCTCCTTTCACTTCACAATCTTCTTTCAGGTCTTCCTCCCCACCAGGAAAACAACATCACCAACATCCCACCAGCCTAGGACACACCTTATCATCACTGCCCACAATGCTCTTTGTTTAGAAACTCATTTCTATCTTCTCATCTGAGAGTATTAACTCAACCTGTTCACTGAGAAACCGCCTACTACTCTCTCCAAAAGTCATCCCTTCCTTGATGTTGCCATAACACTTTGAATAGATCTCTACATTATATATATAATTTTACCAGAGCATCTTAATGATTTGCTCACATCACCCTTATTGCCCATAAAACTTATTTCATAAGAGTAAAGGTCATATTTCTTTTTTCTAGGCAGGTAAAACTTTGTCCAGTGTATAGTATGTTTTAGAAATGAAATAAATATTTAAATGAGTTTAAGCAGTAAACTGATTAACATAAAAATTACTTAAATCATCTGATAAGAAGGCTGAACTAAGAAGAATATAAAAATAGAAAATGCAAAAACAAGGATTTGCAATATAAGATAGAGGAAAAATAAAGTCAAAGATAAATTTGAAGCCATGTAATTATGATTTCCTAAGAAAGCTAGAATATCATTATATCATTTTTATTACCTCTTATAGAATAAAAAGTTAGAGACCAAAATATAATCCATTCAAAATAAAGAATACACTCATGACTTTTTAAAATTAATTTATAAATGTACTTATCTTAAATATGTTAGTTGACGGGACCAGCAGTTAGCATAATGGCTAAGTCACTGAACTCCCATGTAGTCGACCGTGGTTCAAGTCCTGGACCCAGTGGCTTAAAACTCACGCAGGGCATGGGTGCTTGCATGCCCAAGATCCCAAGAGGAAAATGGAGGAGAAAGGATTGCAGCGTGGCCATCCTTCTGGGGGTGATTTCTCACTTTCTGTTTCTCTGTCTCTCTCTGTCTTCCTGGTGAACGCACACACCCTGTAGCAAAAACCTCTCCCCCCCGCAAAAAAAAAGTCAGTTGACTAATAAAAAAAAAGAAATTATTAGAAATCTATTGAATCATATTTTTAAAAGAGTCCTTTAAGTGAGACTATATATCAAAACAATTTAATGCACTAATTTGTTGGCAAAAACAATACAAGAAAGAAAATTTATTTTATGACCCTTCAAATGGATAGTGCCAAACCACATGTTCTGGTTTGTCTGTTAACATCAAAACTTAGAGGTTTACAAGGTTGAAAAACAATACAGCCTCAAAAATAATTTTAAAGTTACATAAATTTTGTGGTTGTAATCTAAATTTATTTCTTAGTTTAATTTCTTTATTTGTCTATATTTTGATGAACTTCATAAACACGTATAGAATATGAAATCCATTAATAATTTAAATTTTGGCACTAGCAGATGGTGTAATCGTTATGTCGCTAGACTCCCCTGTAGTCAGCCACGGTTTAAGTCCCAGAACCAGCGGCTTACAATTCACACTGGGTGAGTGTGTGAGTGTGCCTAAGATCCTGATAGAGACTGGA